ACTGAGAAAGATTCCTCTAGTGAAAGATGAGGGGGATCTATAACCAGTGGTTCGGTCTCGAAGCCTGAATGGGACACTGAGGCAAATAATGCACCCAAAAGCGAAGTGCGCTAGTTAATAGGCGCCTAAATGCGCTAATAGGGCGGAAAGTGCGGAAAAGCGCACTTCGTGCGATCACAACGGAGTGCTTTGAGTAGAGATGACAATCAAATGGGGGAATCAGGACTTTGATAGATGTAGAAATAGACACTTAAAGGTGTCAAAGCGCCAATAGGAAGGAAAACCGGTGTATTCAGATAGAAACTCAAGCTATACACTTCGATGGTAGTGGAGCGGAAGTAAGTGACAGGAAAACAAACATGGTGACGTGTAGGTATGCTAAGCGAGTTCCCACGGCTCGGAGCCGAATAGGAAGTACTAAGGTAAATGGTGAGGTAAGTCAGGGTCCATAACGAGATATGATGATAAGTACTAGTGCCTGCGTGACGGAGTATGAGTTCTGAAGAAGGGAAAATGCACCAATGGACCTTGGAGGACTAGGACAGGACATGCGGAGGACAGGCGACAGATCCTAAGGAAATGTGATGAAGTGCACCATAACACACTCGAATGTGCTGGTACGCGCCAAAGCGCGCGTTGCGCGGAAGTCGTATGAGAAGCGCGTTATAAGGATATCGAGTGCGTCGTGAAAAGCTGTGAATTTGGCCCATATGAGCCTGGAGAAATGTGAGTCTCTACAACGCATCCTTTGGCAACATAGTCCTTTCAGTCATAACAGAGTTCACAAACGAATTCTGGACAGTCATTGATGGTAACACCAATGACCTCTTGCTGAATGAGTTGAGCGGTGGTGCCCGAATCAGCTTCATCTTCCATGAACTGTTCAACAATGGTATGAAGGGCATCGACCCTTTCGATCAGGTCAAGGATGGAGATATCCAAACTATCTTGTACAATTCTTCAGTGGGTCTGTTACTTGTGTAACACAGAGACTGTTGCTTAAAACTCCTTCGCAATGCAGGGTCAAACACCATCACTTTTTGTTGGCTCGCAAGCCTTTGAAATTATCGTCAAGCAACAGATCAAGCAACTGGAAGAGCCAAGTGTGAAATGCTGCCAGCTCATATATGACAAACTCATTCGCATTCTTGGACAACTGCTACAGAAGATCGTACATATTCACGCGACCCAAGATTGCAATGATGTGCTAATGGGACCATACAGCAAGCCTTCAGATGTTTCCCTGCACTCCGTGAGCGCTTCAACTCCGTTGTAATTACAGTCTCGCATGTTTCTTATTGATCTGACTCCACATATAATAGCATTATACTTTGATAATGCCTCTCCTTTTGAATGTTTCTCCGTAATGCCAACAGTTCTGACCATTACAAGCTGCGCGCAAAAGCCATGGAATGTGCTGGTTTTAATAGGTAAGAGATTATCATTGATGCTAGTTTCCTTGACTGATCTGTGTCAGCAATGGCCGTTGGGAGCTGTTCCTTCCTGTGGTCATGCCCCCACTGCTGAACGCGGCCAGCACAAAAGCTGATGTTTCTATCTACGGTAAGTTCAATCATTTGGGTCACGGTACGTGCTTACCTTGCCACAGATGACAAAGAAGACATCGGCAAGGCGTGAGAAGGCTGGGAGACTACCTCGATGGACGGTCAGATCGTTGGTATCTGTACTTCAACCATCGACGAGAAATGCCAAGCGTTCGACACTCTCGTTGTCTATTGCGCAACCCTCAGAGGCCAGTTCGCACCATACCTTACTCAAAGCCTAGAGCTCTCCCTCCCCGCTCTAAAATTCTACTTCCACGATGGCGTTCGTGAAGCTACGAGTAGGTGAGTGCTCCCCAGCTGTTACAGTCAAGTACGCCCCTATTCATTCTCATTCTCTTACATCATTGTATTACATCACGATCACATCTTGCCGTCGCTAGATGATCTATTCTTGTTATCTCTGACTCGTCTTATCTCTGACTCGTCTCTATGACCTCATCGTACCGGCCCTAAAGTCGTTACCGTTCATTATATAAACTCGCCCTGTACTATGTAGTTCTTTACTTTAATCTTACTAGGTTTTACCTGGAAACTTCCTTCGCTTAAGACCTCCAATCTTAAGTCGTATTGAACGTGATTCAAGTCGAGGACACTCTCCTAGACTTGTCTTAGAAACCATTGAACTTCGGTATACGCCGAAGCCTTGAACCGACCTTGGCCGATTACTCTTATCGAGTAGCCATACGTCAGAACCATCCTAGTTCGTAACAAAAGATTAAAGTCTTTCTACGAATACATCGCTATCACGCGTTGTAAAACCCAGAACAGAACAAACCCTGGTCATCACGACAGATAGAACCCCAGGTCCCCAGAAGCTAACAAGCTGACGTCCTTGACACCAATCTTTGGCGCTTTGAACCTAGGTGCTGTACCACCCCTACCACCTTTGAACCCCCCGATGTCTTCTACGAAACCCATTGAAATCAAAATCGGTTCTCCCCCGGTCTTTGACGGGGATAGAGATAAATCCGAGGGATTCTTGATGTCATGCCAGTCCTATCTCGATATTAACGAGAAAATCTATGTCGACAACAAACAGAAGATCATTTTCGTAACTTCCTTCATGAATGAAGGGAACGCACGCTACTGGAAGGAAGATTTCCTTAGACAAGCGCAAGACCCTAACAACTAAGACCACCGCAGGCCTTGTCAAAGGATACAGTACATGGACTGAATTCCTTGCCGACTTCAAAAGCGCGTTTAGGCCGCTTGATCCCTCAGGAACGGCGCTAGCCAAGCTCCGTAACCTTAAACAAGGAACCGAACTTCAAGATTACATCTCGGAGTTCTTGATGCTCACACGGCGGGCAGGAGTTCAAGGCGACGTCGCGAAGAAGCAATTCTTCCTAGACGGACTGCACCCAGGACTGCTCGCTCGCCTTTACGGCATGGGCGATGTCTCCGACGATTTCGAAGTTGTCCTCTCCACTTGTATCAACCTCGACAACTCACGCCTTCACCTAAACGCCATCAGGGTGCGCAACCAACCCCAGAAGAAGAAGAACTTTGGATCTAACCGATATGTGCCATCTAGAGACCCCAACGCCATGGTAATTGATTGGCTTTCCGAAGAAGAACACGCGGAACATTTCCGAACCGGAAAGTGTTTCACCTGTCACAAGGCCGGACACCTTTCTAAGAACTGTCCAGAGAAGAAGAAAGGAAAGACTCCGGTACGCCGCAAAGAAGTAGAAAGCAGCGATGATGAAGAAGAAGAAGCGGAAGTCCGCCGTCTCAAAGAGGATTTTTGATATGGGAGACTGGATCAACGTCAGTATCTCTCGATGTACCCATAAGACTTGTACGAAAAGTTGGTGAACGAAAAGAACTTCGGGTTCCCCTTTCCCTCATTTCGAAAACACGTCTAAAAACCGTTGAAACCACCGCAGTTGTTGATTCCGGAGCAGCCGGAACCTTTATCTCAGAAGACTTCGTCAAGAAACACAAGATCCGAACCCACGCCCTTAGTAAACCTTTCCGGGTTACTACCGCCGATGGAAGTTATTCCAAAAGCGGAGCTATACGCCGATACTGCGTTCTCACCATCAAGATTGACGAACGAACTATGATAGGGAAGTTTAACGTCACACGTCTTGGCAGAAGAGATCAGATTCTCTTAGGGATCCCCTGGCTACAGGCTATGAACCCGGTTATTGACTGGGCAGCTGAAACTCTTATCCTTTCTTGAACGGAAAAGAGTAATCAAGTTGAAGAAGAAGTCGACAAAGAAAGGAAGAAGAACGATCTTCCACTTCTATTTCGACAAGAATCCATAGATCGGACTTGGAAGCAATCCAAACTTAAGAAAGCACCAATCGCCGAAACCCCTGTCATTTATCCTAAGGCAACCATCGAAGAAATCGTTGACGAAGAAGCACCACACGTCCATCCCCCCACTGATTCACTACCTGATCTACTCCCCATCCCCGACGAAGACGATGAGACTTTTGATACCAAGGAAGATGTCTGGACACAAGAGAACTTTGCCGCACCAGTGCGAGAAGTCTCTATGTATGACCTAGATGACGACGAATTTCTGGTGGAATACTCCATTGACGCATCCGAACTCCGGGTAATTTCAAATACTACCATGGATACGCCATTGACCCCAGACGGTACCAGTCGTTCTGAACAGAAACCCACGGTCAAACCTTTGCCACGGCCTACGGAATACGCGAAAGTTAGTAACAAAGCTCAGCAGTTCGCTCTAGCTGTGGGCTTAGAGCAGAAGAAGAAAACTTTCGAAGAACTCGTACCCTCCTATCTCCACGACTTCGCTGATATCTTCGCTAAAGACGGATCTTAATCAACTCCCTCCTGAACGACCCGGTATTGACCATCGTATTGAAACGAAACCCGGATTCATCCCCAAAACATCGAAAATCTATCCCCTCTCTATCGCCGAACGAACCGCTGTCAAAGCATTCATTGACGAAAACGTAAAGAAAGGTTTTATCTCGGAATCCAAGTCGCCACAAGCCAGCGGTTTCTTCTTCGTAGGAAAGAAGAGTGGAGATCTCCGACCCTGTCAAGATTATCGATATATCAACGATTGGACGATCAAGAACGCCTACCCCTTGCCGCTTCCTTTATCCCTTGTCGCACAGTTACATGGAGCAAAGTATTTCACCAAGATGGACGTCCGATCCGGTTATAATAATATCCGCATTCACCCTGATGATAGATGGAAAGCTGCGTTCACCACTGAATTCGGACTCTATGAGCCGAATGTCATGTTTTTCGGGCTTTGCAATTCCCCGGCCACGTTCCAAGCCTACATGAACCGTACTTTCCAACAGGAAATCAACGAAGGATGGTTAGTAATCTATATGGACGACATCCTCATCTTTTCGGATAACCTGGTTGAACATCACGCTTGTACCTGTCGAATTCTCACGAAGATCCGCAAAGAACGACTCTTCTTGAAACCAGAGAAGTGTACCTTTGACGCGCAAGAAGTTGAATACCTCGGCATGATTATTCGCCCCGGATGTGTAGCTATGGACGTTGCTAAAACTGACGGAATCTGCGATTGGCCAACTCCATCCACTGTTAAGGAAACCAGATCGTTCCTAGGTTTCTGTAACTTCTATCGGAACTTCATCCCTCATTACTCCGATATCGCACGACCCCTTATCGACCTTACAAAGAAAGATAATGTCTTCCTTTGGTCCACACCGTGTCAGGAGGCATTTAGAACGTTAAAGGAGTGTTTCCTAAAACAGCCTGTCCTTCGTAACCCTGATTCGTCTCGACAATTCGCAGTAGCCACCGATGCATCTCTTGTTGCAACGGGTGCTGTCTTACTACAGACAGATGAGAACGGCGTGTATCATCCATGCGGATACCTCTCCCAATCCCTGAACCCCGCTGAAAGAAATTATCAGATCTTTGATCGCGAACTCCTGGCCGTTATCCGTGCACTTCAAGAATGGCGCCATTATTTGGAAGGAAACCCCCATCCAATCATTGTTTTCACTGATCATAAGAACCTCCTTTATTTCCGAACCGCGCAAAAGTTAACCTGTCGCCAAGCCAGATGGCAGCTCCTTCTTTCTTGTTACGATATTGAACTTCACCACGTTCCAGGAACCAAACTTGCTGCACCGGATGCCCTGTCACAACGACCTGATCATGCACCCGATACCATTGATAACGAAGACATGACGCTCCTCCCCGATTCCATGTTCATTCGCCTTCTTGACCAAGAGCTCATGACCACTCTTGCGAACCCTGATCCTGATGACACCGATCCCATTTTCCGAGCTGCGTCCGATGCCTTAAATGGCCTTTGCCTTCCTCCCATGAAATCGGCTCTCTCAGATTGGACGATTAAAGATGACGTTCTATTTTACAAAGATCGTGCCTATGTCCGTCCAGCCGGACGCCGCTCTATTTTAGAACGCACCCATGACCACGCTACAGCGGGACATCCCGGCCGTTTTAAAACCGAAGAACTGGTTAAACGCGACTTCTGGTGGCCATCTATGGGGACCTACATCCGTAAATACGTTGAGGGTTGCGCCCTTTGTCAGCAAATGAAGTCCGATACCCATCCCACGACACCTCCGTTAGTCCCTATCCCTTCTTCGGTCTCTACCCCGTTCTCCCAAGTCTCTGTCGACCTCATCACCGATCTTCCCCTATGTAACGGGTTCGACTCTATCATGGTCGTGGTAGACCATGGTCTTACGAAGGGGGTAATTCTCATCCCTTGTACGAAGACTATCACTTCAGAAGGCGTAGCAAAGAAATTCTTCAAATACGTCTACCGCCGCTTCGGGCTCCACAAGAAAGTAATC